AAGCAAGTGACAGAAAATGCATCTGTCAACATTATATATGACACAGAAGCTAGAAGCATCCTAAAAGTCCATCACTGGGGCCGGATTGAAAACATGTGCTGTGCCCCCCATGAGGCCCCTGCAAACAAGTTATCTCCATGAAGAACTCAGTCAGCTCTGGGAAGCAACCCAGAATGGGTTCCTGATATGCCAGACGACAACAGCAAGGTGAAAATAGAATAAATTTGGTGCAATTCCACCTTCCTGTGGAAGTACAGGTGGCTGGCCATGTGTACCCTAAATAGGAACATTCTGGAAGAGAAACACCGAACTGTGAGAAGTTATTTTCAGGGTATGGGGTTTAGGGAAAGAAGTGGATAAAGTGAGGGCTTAGATATTTTTTACTTTATCTGCTCCTGTGTTGTCTGGATTTGTTAGAATGGGAGTGTTTTCCTGTGTCATCAGAGACTTTGTGGAAGCTCATCTAAGCATGACGAAAGCCCTCATTGCCTGGTCCATGGGTTTTCCAGGAGTCCCAGGCAACCTCAGGGACCTCCCAGCAAGCAGCTCACTGCCTTCTTGACTGATTCTCCCATGACAAATAAGACCACCAGGGTTTGTGGGGTTCAGGGCTGTGGTTTAGGCTTGGGCCTTTTATTTGCTTTTGTTCTGATGAGGGCCCCACCGTGGAGTGCACAGGAAAACACCCAGACCAAATCTAACTAATCTCTGCTTTTTCTCTTTAGGACCAATTGTCCCTGTAAGTATAGTTTTTTGGATAACAACAAGAAGCTGACACCTAGACGTGATGTCCCCACTTATCCCAAGGTAAGGCAAGGCTCCAGTCCCGCAGAAGCTCAAGCTCTGAGTACACTGCTCCCCACACCAGCACCCTGGGCCATTTGCAGAAACAGCCCTGGGGCAGCCCTGGGCCGTGGGAGGTGCAGGATATTCTTAGGAAAGCATTTTTTCTCTTTGACATTTGTCTAGCCTAAGTAATCCCAGACCACGATTAACTTGCAAAAAGATGGTAGCTCCTTGCCGCTATCTGGGCCTGGTTCCCTTTGCTGACTTGGTAAACGGTTTTTCACTCAAATGTTACTTTTATTTTTAACTAAATATTTTTAAGTACACGTCATTGGCTCTCCTGTCCCTGAGCGACACATAGCTGTTATGGAAAGTTTTGCTCTTATGTGCAAAGGTTTTCTAATAGAAGTTGTGAGAGAAGCCAGGCCCTTGCTAGAGTAGCAGCGTCCTGTTTTTCCAATAACCACAGAAGCAGGGTCTAGCGACAATGGCCATCATCTCACCAACGCCTTCAGCTGGTGAGTGGTGAAATCCCAGTGCCCCCGTCTTTACACACTCTTGTGCTAGGATTCAGAGGCTCGGCTCCCCCAGGCCAACCTGGGCCGTGCACAGGTCCTGCCACTGCCCACTGTCCCAGAAGCCTCCACTGGCATCCACTTCTCAATAATGTTCTCTGCTTGGTTATGAACAACATGCTAGATATTATCTGAAGGGTTCAAATGGAGATTAGAACCTTATTCCATAGGAAAATTTGACCTACGATTCTCACAGTCCCGCCCCAGGGAGGCACACACACAGCCTAGATCCAGGATAAAAGGTGTCAGTCCCACATGACAGATCTTTAAAAAGGAAAAAAAAAGCACAACTAAAAAGATCCAGGAGAA